GCGCCCCGTGCACCCCCGCGCCTGCGCGCTGCCAAGGCCCTGCCCGTGTGTGGGGGGCGCCGCCGGCCCCGGGGGGGTGGGGGAAATAGGGGGTAAAAAAAACAGCGCGCGGAACCGGGCCAGGTGAGAGGCGCGTGCACTCAGGGTCGTGGGGCTGGGGGGGCGTGCCACGGAGCTCTGAGCTTGGGGGGGCGTGCACGATGCGTGCAGGCGGCGGGGGGAGGACGTGAAAAGCGCGTGCAAACGTGTAAAGGGGGGGCGGAGGAATGAGGCAGCCGGTAAAGGGGGCGGGGTGAGAAAAGCCTGCAACCGAGGCCACCCTGGAGTCCAGAGCCCCAGGCCTCTGCTCCCCCTTTCTCCGTCCTACCACCGTGGGCGCGCGGGTTCGCCCATCCTAGCGGGCTGCGGGGCTGGGGGGTGTGGACGCTGCTGCCCCGCCCCCGGGAACCACGCCTCCCTCCTCTCAGAGGAACAGTGCCTCCCCAGGGCTGGGGAAACTGAGGAAGTGGTTTGAAGACTGGGAGATAGGATGCTGGGTGGCTGGGCAAGAATGGGAGCGAGAGTCCTAGAGCCGTCGCTTCGGAGAGCCAGAGACCTTTGTCTCTGACCGGTTTCCTTCCCAACCAGGGTTGCCCACCCCCCGCCACAATGGCCTCTGGGGTGGAAGTCCTGCGCTTCCAGCTGCCTGGCCACGAGGCCGCTACGCTGCGGAACATGAACCAGCTCCGGGCAGAGGAGCGTTTTTGCGACGTGACCATTGTGGCTGACAGCCTCAAGTTTCGAGGCCACAAGGTCATCCTGGCCGCCTGTTCGCCGTTCCTGCGGGATCAGTTCCTGCTGAACCCCAGCTCTGAGCTGCAGGTTTCTCTGATGCACAGTGCACGAATCGTGGCCGACCTGCTCCTCTCCTGCTACACAGGCGCCCTAGAATTCGCCGTCAGGGATATCGTCAACTACCTGACTGCTGCCTCCTACCTGCAGATGGAGCATGTCGTGGAGAAATGCCGGAATGCTCTCAGCCAGTTCATTGAGCCCAAAATAGGCCTCAAAGAGGATGGGGTCAGTGAGGCTAGCCTTGTGAGCAGTGTCAGCGCCACCAAGTCCCTCCTCCCTCCAGCCAGGACCCCAAAGCCAGCCCCGAAGCCACCACCCCCGCCTCCTCTACCCCCTCCACTCCTGCGGCCAGTGAAGCTAGAGTTCCCACTGGATGAGGACCTGGAGCTGAAGGCCGAGGAGGAGGATGAGGATGAGGATGAGGATGTATCTGACATCTGCATCGTCAAGGTGGAGTCGGCCCTGGAGGTGGCACACCGTCTCAAACCCCCTGGAGGTCTGGGAGGGGGTCTGGGTATCGGAGGCTCCGTGGGCAGCCACCTTGGGGAGCTGGCCCAGAGCAATGTGCCCCCCAACACTGTAGCCCCGCCACAGGGTGTGGTAAAGGCCTGCTACAGCCTATCCGAGGACGCGGAAGGGGAGGGCCTGCTGTTGATTCCCGGAGGCCGAGCCAGTGTAGG